AAAATTCTTTGTAAAAAATTATGATTTATCCTAATTATGCGAATTTCGAATAATTAGGACTATTAATAGTACTACTGTACTAGTACTGTAGTTGTCGGTAATTCGCGAATTTCATTAAATTAGGCTTGTTCTTTTAACAAGCCTAATATTCGCGGATTGTTTTTACGGTTGGGAGAGGCAGTGGCATACAAACACCAAGTGTAATCGATGCATCCAGTGTTTAGGGGATGATGGGACGACTTTCCGCAAAGCGCATTTGCAACGACGAAGCACCGCCATGACCCAAGAATGCGAGCTGCTGGACGACATGGAGAAGCGCTTGAAGAAGCGCGCGTACATCCGAACCTTCATGAAGACGTACCGGAAAAAGGAGAAGCGGGGCCACGAACAGCTCAAGGCCCAAAAGGTGCAGCTCGAGAACGAAGTCCGCGCCATGTTCCTGTCCACGGGGCGGTATGTCCGCACCAAGACGATGTTGTCGTGGAAGGACATTGCCAGTGCATTGGCCACAAGCAAGAATGAGGTTCTGGACACGAACCAGCAGCTGCGAGCTCAAGTGATGTCTCTGCATGGCATTGTTCAGGAAATGCACCACTGGGCGGGGATTGTGGTACGTCCGCCTGTCCGTCCGTCCATCCATACGCCCCCTTCGTCCTGACGTCGAATGTGCAATCTTGTTAGCGTCCGTTGACCGTGACCTCGTCATGGCGCAACGTGTCCCTGCCAGCGTCGCCTACATCTCGATCGTTAGCGAAGGACTGGATCTCCCGTCAATTGCTTGAGCAAATGAATCGTGTGCTCACGTCGCAGCCATTTCCTGCAGATCACGCCAAGTATCACGACTGGGACATGATCTTCTCCGACGACGACAGCCACTTTCACATCAAGCAATGCTCGCAGTTCGTATGGGACGTCCCCATCGAGTCCGTCGTCACGCTGTACTACCGGCACGCGTGCTCGGCGTTGTGGCTCGACGGCCACCAACCGCTCGGGCTGCAGGTACGGCCAACGACCGCCAACGACCACGTGTATTTCCCACCTATGTGGCGTGTGTATTTCCCAAGTATGGCTAGTTTGTCCCTGTGTACTACTTTAGTATGTACGTGTTAGTCTTTAAAGGAAGAAACCGAGCAAACGACATTGCATCAACTGATTTCGCGGGCCGGAGAGCATGTGAACCTGCTCAGCGGCATCTCCCGAGGCAAAGACTGTTGCCATATTGTCCTCAAGCAAATCCAAGACGACGAGAGCTTTGCCTTGAATGGCCGCCGCCAGCGGAATCGCACGGCGTGGTAGATACCATGATGTCCCTATATTCTCGTTATGTTATATTCTCATTGTGTTATAATATCGTTGTGTTATATTCTCGTTGTGTTATATTTTCATTGTGTTATATTCTCATTGTGTTATATTCT